TGGTTCCATAAAAAGCTTCGTTATAAGGGCATCTTCGTTAAACTGAGCCTTCGTTAAACCGAGCTTTACTGTGTATAAGCATATTGGTGTATCAACTTTTTTGTGCCGGACCATACTAATAAATTAGGAATAACAAGTTCTGTCAGGGAATGGGCTCCCGCGTCAGCCTAAGCTGGCTCCTTTTTTGTAAGATATCGAAGAAGAACATTACGAGAACCATTGATATCTCTATCAAGGTTTGTTTTACATTGGGGACAGCAAAACACCTTAGATCCACCAAGCTTTTTATGAATATAACCACAGGATCCACAAGTTTTACTGGTGTATTCTTCTGTACAAATTATTCTCTTTTCATAGTCCTTGATGGTGTCTTCGAGTTTATTAATTACAAAGTTAACTACAGTAAATTCGAAATCGTTGGAAGAATTAGACAATTGAAATCATCACATCGCCTTACTCGACACCAGGGATGCTCACGTGCCTTATGGATCAAATGCTGTTGAGCAGTCTTGGGATTAATGCGTCGTTGTTCATGTCGGACCATTCCTTGAGTGCAAAATTCGGGTAGTAATAGCTTTCACAAAGCCATTTAGCTAGTCTATGATGACAATCATCCACAAGACAACGGATCCTCTTGTGAATGCGTAACATAACACGACGTAATCTACAATTGAAAGTAGTATACTGTATATTTTAATTATAAATAAATATTAAATAAATAAATAATTTAGGGTACCCAACAGTTAATCAATAAATTTTACCTGTAACGATTTTGCTCATTTTTTTTCCCATGAATACAATCGCGTTTACTTGAAGCTTGTCGCATGCATGACTTAATCGATAAATTCGGCCAATGTCATTTTTACCCCATTCAACAGCTACTCCACTTGGATATCATAACCTGTCATGAACGTACGTACACCTGGATCCAAAGAAATCACTCCTTAAATTATCAAATATATAGTTAATTAAAGTTTTAATTTAATAGATAATATAATATTATAATAAAATTAGATCAATACCTTTTGAGATATAGGGCCTTGGTTTTCAGCCTGTATGTCAAGTGGTCTGGGTATACAAAGATAATATTCCCCAAGTCGATTCATAACAAGGCGGCTATAATATTCAAGCTTATATGGAAGAGGTTCTGGCTTGATTTTAGGAAAAAAGGAATATTCCCCACGAGACTTGCCACAGCATTTAGAAAGTATCATAATTGACTGCTGAGGATCCTTTTTGGAACGGAGCTTCATCTTGAATTTTTTACGATTGGCAGCAAAATTGGAAGAATATCCTTTAAGCAAGTCGTTCATTGCTTCATCGCGAATGTCATAGGGAGTTTCAAGGACCCATTTGAGTTTGGTATCGTTGAAGCTTTTGGCATTGAGACGTAATGCCTTCTTTTCTCGTTTGATACTTTCTTTTTCGATCATGGTAAGGCACCGATTGTATGTTGCTGGTTGGGATAAATGCAAATTCGTCGTACCTTGCCTGCTGAAGGTTTCTTCACTTCCTTCTTGAACCTCTTGGGCGGCTTCTGATTTGCAGCTGAACGTAGTCCATTATGTCATGCCACAAATACTGTGACGATTGCGAGTATGTCTTCTGCGAGCTCTCCATATTTGCTGTCATTGGTATAAACTTCTCAACCGAGAACCACGAGCCGTGTCCCATTTTTTTTCAAAGATAAAAAGGAGGTCAAGAATATCGAGCTTTTAAACAGATCATGGAAGAGTAAGGGAACACTAAACGTGAAGCTAATACTGTTGAACTCAAGGTTAGAATCAAGGGGCTAGAAAAAAATAAAATAGATACTACTACCCTCAAGACTGAAAATGATGAGCTTAAAGCTAGAGTTGCGAAATTGGAACAGAAGCAATTGCAAAATGATAAGGAAGAGACAAACCTTATTGCCAAATTAGATAATTATACCAGGGAAACCAATCAATCTTCAGTTAACACTGCCTCTTATGAAGCAAATTCCAATGATACTCCTGTACAGATAGTTTCACAAAATAAGAATGTGATATTTCTGACAACTGATGAATCCAATGACACTTCAGCAAAGCAGGCACAGCCAAATTCCACGAGATTGACACCATTGCAAAGCAATAAGACTCAATGCTCTATATCACTTATATGTGCAAAGCCTAAATCGTCAGAGGATAAGGAAATGATTGATTTTCTGGATCGGAAAGAAAAAGAAGGGATTAGAGATATGATGATAAAAAGGAACAGGGAAAAGAAACTATTACAAAATAATGAAGCATCTGCTTCTCGAGATCAGAATGTTCCGGAACCTATTGATCAAACTATTTCTTCCGAGAACGGAGCTCATTGTTTCACAATAATAGAAATTCCATATAATCAAAAAGTGGAACAAGGTTTAAGACATGAGTAATCTGTTTGCATTAAAGGTGATAATGGTAAGAGCAATAAGTCATTTGATATTCAGATTCCTGAATTCTCTTTAGAAGCAATTTTAACAGGATCTAGTAAGGTGACATTGCAAAATATTTAGGGTAGCAATGAAGGTTAGTATTGTTATTATAAAGCATACGAAAATCGAGCCAGTGATGTTAAAAGCCGAAGTTTTTTTTTAATTTTATTATAGCCTTTAAGTCTGCGAATATTATTGACGACCAATCGGCAAGAACGATAGTGTATAATGAAATAAAATTGCTCCTTCCTGATATTACCGATGTAAACTTGCGTAAAATAACTTTCAGAGCAAAAAAAGTTTATATATTCTACGAAGGAGTAGGAATTGATAAAATTAGTCAATAACTTACAGTGCAAGTGCTATTTCAAGTCTAAAGGATATTCAAACATCATAAACGATTTTCCCAAGTTATCAGCAGATATGATCGGAGTGACTAACTCGAATGATATATTAATTACTAAAGTGTCTCGTACCTCTAATTCAGAAAATATGATAAATGAGAAAGTTAAATCTTTAGACTAAGGTAAGTGCATCATCTAATACATTAAAGCAATATCCTAATTTATATCGAGAAGGTAGTGATGGAAACGATGATTATTATGGAATTACTGATAAATTTTTATGCCCGCTATGCAAGTTAGAAGGTAAATATGAAATTGGATCCTATTATATTAAATGTGAACAGCTCGTGGAAATTTCTTCTCTCCCATGCGTTCAGGCTTCTATAATTTCTGTATGCTTTTTCCATGTTCTAAATGTGCGACCATCTTCTATAGAACAAATTGAGATATTGTTTGGTTCTCACTTCCCAATAAGCCAGATCGCTTGAGGACCTTTAAGGGCATTATTTATGGCTTCCCAAGTATCGCCTTATAATATTCGACCATTCGATCTCTTGGGAAGTGCTGATTTCTTGGAGTAGTATCAAGTAATGCGATTGGCCGTTTGAGAATCTTTTCTAAGTCTGCCTGGAATTCGCATTCTCTTCTCCCAATCATTTATTTTTTGCTGACGAATTTCTGTGAGGCTTAGCATGATCGAAATGCTCTTTTACTCGTTGCACTACACAGTTAAATGCTCCATCTTTCATAGGCATTAATCGATTGACATCTGGCTTTCGGATTTGATATAATCCATAGACTACTGCATTACTGTCAATATCAAGTCTTCCTATTTCAGATTGCTCACTGATTTCTCTAACCGGAAATTTCTCATCTATTCCTACCCAAAAGCCTAGTTTTGTTTTCTTTGGTCCACCCCGACATATTTACCACCCGCCCTTTTTTGATTCACGAATAGGCTCATATTTGCTGATAATTTAAAGCTTCTTTTATATATTCTCCTTCTGGCAGATATTACTATATCAGCTCGAATAAATTTTACTCTTATTAGGAATTGACCATTATTGATTGCATTTAAAATTTCTTGAGCCCGCTTTTCAATCATCCCAGCCTCAATTTTTTATTCTAATCAGGTTTTATTTCCTTTATCTTCTGCTCTATAAGCTAGTATTGCCAATTCTATTTTTTCATCGATTTCTCCTTCTGAATAATTATGACATAGGCATCGCAAAAATAAAAATACCCTACTAGCCAAATTGATCTCTTTAGCTTTTGTAAACCGAGTTGAGAAATTGCTCCATCTACTTTGAACATATCCTTTACAGTCTGAATTACATTTTGCCATATTACATGATGTGTTTCATTATCTAGAAATGGGAATTGGCCAAGGCACTTCTATATCTAAATCTAGAAATCCACTCTTGTAATTAAGCAATTCTTGAACAGGTTGCAATTCTATATTATCTGATGGCATGGTTTGTTGAGCTATTATTTTTTCTGATTTAGTAAGCAGCCCGCCTTCACGACTTGGAATCAATGTTTGGCTGTACCATTGGAGATATGCTTCCTCAGTTTCGGTTTCACCAAAGAATTATTGCCCTTCATGCTTTTCTTCTTCTGTTAGAGGCTTTTGCGGAATATATGCTTCTTTATCCATTTGCAGTAATTCATCATAAAGAGCTTTGCATTCTGCTAAATTTTGGGTTGATCTCGGTCTGTAGTAGGACTTAGATGCTTGATTTTTTTTCGTAGCCTTGATCCCCATTGCTTAACAGGTTCATCTGACCTTCTGGCGTTATGATCCTGAGACTGCAAATTTGAATTGGTTATAGGTTTGAGATCTTTCAAAGAAAGTGTATTAACAGCTGTAGCAGTCCACCGTAGCTGTGCCCAATAAAGGACCCACCAAATCACAAAAAAAGTGTATTCTGTATATTGGGAACTGGTACAGTTACTTGTGGTATAGGTTGAGTATTACGAGATAGCAATAAAGCTATGCAGTGTTAAATCCACATGTCTATTAAGATCTCTTGTTTTCTAGTTACAGGGCTCCATCCACATCCTGGACATTTACCTACCATGTTTTTTATTATATATTAACTAGAGGTGCATTGTGTGGCCGCCCGACTTTATCGGTCGACTTTTAGTAATTTATATTGTTGGGAAATTTGACTTTGAATGCATTAATTTATTATTGTTAATATTAAATTTAATGTTAGTATTCATTCATAACTACTGTATTAATATAATGCATTTAGGGTATTTATTTTGTCTGTACGAGTATGCTTGGTTTATGTTGAATGTTAATCCGTGTTCATAATAATAATAAGCTTACTAATTAACACTTAAAGAAAACTCGAAATTGTAAGTAAACAATTTCTGCTTTAAACTTTATATTTATAATTTAAACCTAATAAGTTATTCTGTAATTCACCCGTTAGATCTGTCTTCGTTGGACTTGAAACTTCATATCAGCCGTCTAATTTATCTAGCATTTTTAGAAAGTAGCGGAGAACAACTCAAGCAAGCCGCGAATTATTGACCGTGTATTCAAGTATAGCCACAATATATACCGACTAAAGTACCAGTGGTATTTTACAAAACCTCGTTGTACTATACTAGGGTATTATGATAGGACGAGTAAATCGCTATTTTATTGGTTGTAACGTACTTAAAAAGATTTTGCATCTTACGAAACACGAATAAAATTTGCTTGCTTTAATATGAGAAAAATGATTCGAAGGGCACGTATTACATGTAAACAGCGTCGTTCTTGGTGTTTTAGAGAGGAATATACGGTGATATAATAAGCATGTTTAATAATAAACGCTGTACCATGGTACTTTACAAGTATTTCGTGTAACAACCCGATCATAGTACCATGGTATTTTCCATTCAATGGTACTATGCTGGGGGGGGGGGGGGACTTTTAGTCCGAGAAATACGGTATTTAGAGTTAGATTGACTCTCATTTTGATTAGCGAATCCACTATTTGTCAGCAGCGGATATTTTATTATTCGGATATGATTTGCTCAAGTGGCAGATTTAATTATCGTTGTAAACCAAATCTATTGCATAAAACGTTGTTAATTGTTTGAATGTTTCTATTGCTATTCTAATTCTAGCACTATTTTAGTTCAAACGCATTAACACCATTGGAGGAAAAGAATAGGTACATGAAATGCGATGCGAACACTTTTGACATCCCAGTAAACGCCTCACTATTCACACAGTGGCATTGAGCTGGCTATGCATAAGTTTTAAAACATAGTTACAGTACAAGAAGCAAATGCATAGAAAATAGAAATCCTTCTTTGGACAATTATAAAATTTCGGATCAGCTGTTCAAACGAAGCGTACGCTTACGTGCGGAGAAACCTAACCACTTAGTACCGTTGATGGTCAGCGACTGATGTATATGAGATGAATGTATTAGTATGCGTTGAGAGTGTAGACATTGTTCTGCACCAGGAGATAATTATAATATTCTAGCCAATGGTTGAGCAAATTACATGCATTCCGGTCAATGTCATGAGACATAAATGGGAGTAAAGAAGTAGCATGTAGTAAATATCAAGGCTAGCCAACAGAGTACAGAAACACCCTTGCTAACCGACCACATTACCACGTTCACGCGAGACAACGGTTCCTTTGTACCAATTTTTAAAAGCAGAATGTCTCGAAATTAGACAGACACAAAAACTTTAGTTACCAGAATAGAATGATAATGACCGATTATTTTTAATGTTAATCGAGCTACTGCAATAAAGTTCGGGAATATCTGTTCTAATTTCCCACATGCATTAGCCTGTAAACTATACAATGTAAGTTAATATGCGTAAAGGCAATGTTTCAACAAATAGAAAGTCAGAATCTATAAAAGTTTCACTTGAATCTTTGAAGGTGGGACTCTCATCGCTGCCTTTAGAGCTGTTTGGTTATGCTATTTCTAATTAAAAGGGTTCTTGTTTCATATTAATATATCTCCTTAATTGGGAAACCCGATGGTTGGCATGTGCAGTTACAATTATTACAATTATCAGTTTTCTAATTCGAATGTTCTGTTTTACGACACGGTTTCGTAACATTTGTTGCATTCCTTTTGTTGTCTGTTCTTTTTAGCTGATATCGTTCTTTGTTTTCTGGCAAAGACTATCGCCATGTAGCGACACTCTACTGTTTTGTTGGATTTGGCATCTTCGATGTCACGACAAGAGTCGATCCTATCCAAAACTCTATTTTCCGAGAATGAGTAGAACAAGTGCCCATATCAGTTGACTAATCGAATTTAGTTCGAGAAACAAAACTAAACATGGTTATTATCACCCATAGTCATAGTTTCAAAACCTAAAAATAATTATTCGCCACGCTTTTTGCCTTGGGCTAACATGCAATATAATTATTTTGTCATTCACATATTAATATCTACGCATAATAATAACCCTAACATGAACGTTTATTTTGTGTTTCCCGAGGTTAGTTACGATCCCCCCCACATTTGTATAAAAATAAAAAAAGTGCATAAATTGGCGCACATAGAATTAAAAGGAGATCGGTCACCCGAACTCAGTTTTCATTTTCGGTTTTCTCGGTCGATAGTCACCGATTCTTCTTGTTGCTTGAACCCTTTAGATATTCGCATTACATTCCTTTTTACTTATACCACTTCTTGCGGGGCAAGATATAATTAGACTCTAGATTGTCTCCGCAAAAACACGCTATATTAGACCCCCCCATAATATCATTAATATCCGTTTTCCCAGTATTAGTATCGTTCCCAATACTTTTTACCCACAAACAAAAAGAAATAAAAAGCAAACCACTTTCCAACCCCACTGATAAAACAAATACGTCTATAATGGACTCTAAAGTCTTATCGTCAGATTACCCTTCCTACCCACCACAGCGCTCAGCATCTCTAGCTGACACCGAACTCGCTCAAAAGCACGGCCCAACATCACAACACGAGCAACCAGCTGGTCCGCAAAAGAAATGGTATCGAGATACCAAGGCCATTGTAGCGAGAATGAAGTCAAATTGGCTCTTGCTATTTATCATACCAGCCTTGATTGCACCACGTTATGAGCAGTACATAAATTCACTGCTTATTTTTTTGTTCAATTTATTGGCTATCATTCCGCTGGCAAGGATTATGACTATCGGATTGGACGACATAATAACAAGATTAGGACCTGTAAGTGACATGAAAAACACAATGCCTATTCACAATGATAATCACAGTTAGTCTAGAGATGACTATAATGCTGTCACAATAATTGACTAAATAACCGGATGACTCACTTGTTCTCACCTTCTCACACTAATCTAAATACTTTTTCTCAGGAATATGCAGCGGTACTCCACGCGTTAGCTGGAAATCTAGTCGAACTGATTATTTCATCCTTTGCATTAATGGACGGACACTATGCTGTTGTCCGATCTGCCTTACTGGGTGCTATATTGTCTAATATTTTATTGGTAAGATTATATTTGGAAAACTGTACATGTATCTTACAAGTTACCTAAACTTTTATTTACTTACCCTCTCCTTTTAGGTAATGGGAATTATCTTCTTGGCAGGTTCCATGCCTAAGAAAGGCAATCCCGTACGCGTCCTCCATGCCGATCTGAACTCTGAACTGTTTGTCTCCACTAGCGCATCCGTCCTTGTCCTAGCTTTTCTTGCTCTTGTCGCGCCAGCTACTTTCAAAATCGCCGCACCAGCAGGAACAAACTTGGAGTGCGATCTAAGAAATATAAGCCGTGGAACCGCGGTTATTTTGTTGATGCTGTTTGCTGGTTTGTTGACCTTCCAATTAAAGACGCATTCTAAAGAGGTGAGACTGAGAATTTCATACAAGACTACAGAAATCAGAATTCCCCGACTTACGCGTCTCGTTACATGGTTTATAATTAGATTGTTGACATGACCGAATTCGATCATCGAGAATCAAGATACAACGTGATATTCGACCTTTTCCTGTAAGTCTTGAATTTCATCATTCAGGCTGTCTCAGCAATATATAGATAGGCCTTGTACATAAAAACATGAGCTTTAATTTAACTCTTTTTCATTGTAGAATCCTTGTTTCCGTCGGTTGTATAACCTTATGTGCGAGATATTTAGTCACAAGCATAGAACATACAGCAGAAGCATACAGACTTGGCAGCTCTTTCGTTGGGATGGTGCTTTTGCCCATTTGCGGTATGTGCTTAGTGAGAGAAATGAAAGAATCGATATGGGGATAAAACTAAAAGCGAACGATCTCTGATATTTTCGTTATAGTGATGTCGAATGCTATTGAACACTACGAAGCGATCAAACACGCGTCAGAGGAAAAGATCAACACTGCTATTAGTCTTGTCCTTAATGCTTCTGTGGTTAGTTGGAGTTTTTCTTTCATCACAAGAGTTGTATTGTTTTTATTTTGAGTAATCGTATATTTTCATATTCTCACTCGATTTTTTGTTTCTCGTTGGTATTTGCATTCGCCCATATATCTGCATGTCATGCATGTCTAATCCCCCAACAATTTAACAGCAAATAGCTCTTCTTGTAACACCCATCCTAGTTCTCGTCGGTTGGGTAACTCAACGTCCGCTAACTCTCGACTTCACAGCTCTTGAAATTGCTGTCCTTGGGTGTGCTGTACTTATCATCAACTACCTCGTAGCTGACAACAAGGCCACCTGGTTAGAAGGCCTGATGTTGCTCGCGTCGTATATTATAATCGCGATATCATTCTTCTATTTCCCGAATCCAGTAGATATCGACAAAGATAAGGATGTGTTTTGTAATGCATTCAGCAGAAATTTACCACCAGCAGGAGAGGGAGTGGCCGCTGAGGGAGGACATTAACTGAATTGGAGGAAAAGAGGGCGAGTCTGACGCAATACGTTAAATTTCTGAACATGTGCTGATCACTTCGGTCACTATATTCACCTCTGCATATTTCTTGTTATCTTGTTGTCTTGTTGACTAACTATACTTGCGTGCAGCAACGAACTAGTCACAGTGGATATAATGCCACAGCAGATTAGGGTTCAGTCAAGCACCACAGACGTTACTTGTTTAATAAAGAAAGTTTGATGTCGACTAAGAATTAGCTTTTCTATCTCACCTCTTGCAAAATAAATTAATGTTTCGGCTTATCAAAAAATTGCCTTATTGGTCCCGTTCCATTTTCCTAAGTGAACCTCACGTGACTTGGATATCGTAACAATTCGCGAACAACATTTGTGCTATTTTTTCAGTGCTTGATGCTGTTTGTCTCATTTCACAATAGCTTTTAAATAGAAGGTTGAATTTCATTCGTGAAAAGTCAATGGAACCAAGTAGCATAATAATAATACAATTCTTGGTTAACAATTCCGGATATTAATAGTCAAACCTTTTAGTATCTTAGCTGAAATTATAATAAGCTTGCTTTGGTACCAATACATAGATGTAATTGTTAAAATATCTTACAATTTATCTTTACATCGCCAAAATGTGCCAAGGTTTGTTTCAACACAATTTTCCTTGATGGCCATTCCGGCATGCTAGTTTTTAACTTGCGCTATGTATATCTACTGATGTAACAGGTGAATGCAAAATGATCATTGGTGTCCTTGTATTATATTAAATCGACATCTAACGCTTTGTGGCATGGACATATCTGTAGAGTTATCTCACTATGCATTGCATCACAAGTCTACCTAGTATCCCGCAGATCAAACTTTTGCCTATTGTTCATATTACTCATTTATCGCGTGATTTGGGAACGAGTCTCCAAAAACGGGCATGAAGATTATGGCGAACTAAGAGAAACGACTCTCCGCTCATACAGCTTATTTCAAGCCTCCTTATCAAATGACTATAATGAAAGGATCGAAACCACTGACGTAGAGTCGATTGCAGTACACCGTCTAGTGCAGAAATTTATGCAACATCTTTGTAATCAGTGTGAAACATTTAATGTACACCGAGCCTTGACACTAAGAAAACATTCATATTCCGACTCATTTAGTTGAGCTATTAATTAGTTCATATATTAATATGTCAACAACATTTGATTTTCTAGATCTCAGATCAGTAGCCTGCTGCGGATTAATAAGAACAAGCCCAAATGCCTGAAGAGGAAATGCAATCAAATGTGCATCATACAATCATATGATAAAGAAAAAAATTGTCAATCAGCGTCATTGAACAGCATTAATATTAATAAATAGATTTGTTATTTAATTTAATATGACACAACAATGGTAGCACAATTGTGACAACCCTTTCTGTAACTGAATGATTATGGTACATGTATTATTGTTATCTGGATGAAAAGGGCTTTAATAAATCAAATCAATATGAATAGAGCTTGGTGTTCCCATTACATGTGACGTTTAAAAGCTTCTCAATTATGCTTTAGTATTAGGGTCTTTGCTTAGTAAAACTGCTGCGACAATCTTTTTTTTTTTTTTTTTTTTTGACCCCCGAAATCTGTGGCGTTATTCTCGGGTTTTATTCTATACCGCCAACTTCCCGCATTTGTTACAAACCTCGCCAGAATGAACTTCCACAATAATAAAAACGATTCGCAGGCAGGCAGTGTCTATTCACAATGGATTCATCTTTATTCTCCCTCATCTACACTTTGTCAGTATTAATTGTATTACTACTTATCCCTGTCGCTCAAGCTTTCTGAAAATACTTTTTGCGCAATTAGTTGGGTTTGATTGGCTAGATATATTAGTAGACATTATAGTAGAAGTTTGTTCAATAGTAACGCTAGCGCAGCGGAAGAGCATTCAACACACCGTTTTAAACATAGTGTAAATTTATACATTATCAAAATCGATTGGGTCGTAGAATATCGTATGATTCGAATAATGCAGCAGCCCAAGGTGTAAAGGCGCACGCTCAACACGTTCTTGTTATTGTATAGTCCCCAACTCGAGAGTTATAAACAAAGAAAAAAAGCCCACACGAAATAGGCTTAATCGCTCACAAGAACATACCCGGAAGACGGCTCAATAATGAGCTTGAAACAAGCCATCATATCAGATACCCTGGAACATTTGTTCAAAGATTAATCGGACTGAAGACGTGTTAAGAACGTGCTATAACTTTTATGCAAATAAAATGCCAATTGCATTGGTTTCAAGAAAGACACGTAAAAAATTTGGGCACAGATAGATATGAATGTTGTTGAAAAACGCTTTACCACATTCTACACGATAGTGAGAGCGAGGAACAAAAGATACGCAAAACTTCTTCAGTTTAACGAATTTTATATACTTGAATAATGCAAATTCTCAAATGTCATATCTCAAGGGCTGGTACAATTATTAAAGGTTGTCTCCATTGCTTGAATCGCTAACGCATATCCATGGCCCTGTTCACGTTGCGAGGGATATTAATTTATTTGCATCAAGATACCAGCCTTTGGTGTAGTTATAGTACCTATGGCGTGAAAGACTCTAACGTAAGAATTAACACTTGCACGTTCTTGGATAATTATTGTGGGAGCCGATGCTGAAATCTCGACTGAAGCTGAAACCATGATCTTTCATTGGTTGATCAGATTCTATTCTCTAACCCCATTGGTTAGTTTCAGCATCAGCCGGATTTCAGCATCAGCCGCGACAATTATTATATTGTATAACGATCCAATTAAACACTTTCGTCACTGTATGACAGTTATCCTTTCAGACACGCGGTATTATTCGTTGGCACGTTATTTTTTTTTGACGTCTTCGATGTAAGTGCGGCCAATCGAGATATATTTTCTAGCAGAAAGCTGTATTGCAATCCCAAATGTAAAAAAGTTTTTTTATTAGCACGCATGTTTTCTTTCAGGATGTGAGCTGGCGCTTATTATCCTTCATCAGCTGGGCCTTGTAAATACAGTATATCTCGCTCGTCAACAGTTATCGCAAGTACGTTCCATAAAACGCCATTTTTCCGTATCTGTAATATTACCCTCGCTTGCGACTTGACAAATTCAATTGCAAAACAATGACGTTGATATTTGATTATGACATGACGTTAAACTTAGTAACCAATGGAAAAACATAGTGATCTCGATGGTTTATCTAAAGTGTTCTCACAATAATAATTATTGATGCTGCTTTGAGCATTTCCTGTAAATATGTATCGCGGCTTCATTTTCAGAAACAATTCCATAAAGTTCGCACATTACATTCCGAAAAGGTTTTTGAAGAAGTAGTACATATACAGTGAATTTGATGTTGGCGGCTTTTCAACTTCATGTAAATACTAATCTAGTTATAACTTTGAAGATATGTTATAATGAAGATTATTTCCAAACCAATCATTAAATGATTGTAATTTTCGCTATAAAAGCGACCTTGGTTATAAGAAAAATTTGTAGAATTCGTTGTAACCAGGTTAGATTGTATTCTTTCTTTACTATAAACCACTTAAACCATTCGTCCGTTTCGGGTGAACTATGACGAAAGAAAGACATGGTCAATAAACCAAAAAACAGTGTAATAGGTTTGCGTATAACCTTTTTTTTTCTTTTAATAGAGACAGTGCAAAGTCGTTCCTACCGCCCGCCTTCTCTTCCTCAAATAGTCTAGTCTCTCTAATCGCTCTTCAGCTTAACTTTTCGGTGACCGCGTTCAAATGTCGTTTGTGTGATATCGTTCTACAAATGCATCAAATGCCTGCACTTAGAGTCAGTAATATTGACAGTTTATACAGACATTCAGCTTCCCACTCATTTAATATATAACACAACATAACAAGTTATAACATGCCAACAAACGCGATACTAATATATTGATTTGTTGGCATAGCACCATAGTACACTATTAAGCGCGTCAATGGCGTTGCATTTTTAGAATTAATTTGCAACCCTGACAAGTTTGTTGGTCAGTAAGTTTGTTATATATAATATAGGGTGCACTCATCAGCTACTTCCCATCAGATTTGGCAACTAGGGTTGAGGAGAGGGTAATTTATTTCGGATTAACAGACATTTCAGTAATCGTTGTTTCTACAACTTTTTTCTATAATAAAGAAATATTTCCTCTTTATTTGGCAAGAGCAAATGAGCACCGCCCCCACCTACTTGCCCACTTAACAAACTCGTCAGTTGTTGAGCGCACCCATAGAAAAAGTTTCTGACGCACAAAGTTCGACATCGCCGCTTTCAAAAATCAAGAATAGGTATGCTTTGCCCCAAGAACTTTTTCTCACATAGGTATTAATAATTTTATATCACTCGCGAAAATTTGACCGTGTAGTTACACTCAAAAATTGATTGATCGACAAGAATAAGTTACTTTGGCCAAAGTTCATACTAAATCATATTCATTTGATAATACGTAAAAAGCAAAAAATACTGTATATAATAATAAATCTTCGTACTCTGGAATCTCTCTTACCAGCTGAGAGTTGAGTATTAATATCAAAATGTCAAAAAGACAATTAGACCTCATTAACAGCCTCTGCACTCTTTCGTTTAAAATGATGACCGATTGATGGTAAGTAGCATCTGTCAAAAGATGCGAGGTCGAATGCAAAAAATAATGATATATTCAGTATTATTATTATTTTTTGCTGCTTTAAGCCGCAAGTTCGATAAAGTGGCGGTATTGATGTTACATATATGTTCATGTTTAACATACTGTAGATAACGCCACTTCATCGCACCACTTCACCGCACCACTCCTTCATTACAGTTACTTCATATTACGTATAGACAATAAAGATGTTTGAACAAAAAAAAAGTTTCATATGGTTTACTAATTATACTTTTTGTTTAGTGATTGTATATTCTATTTGTAGGACGATGAGAATGTTAGAGAGAAAAAACTCCAAGCTTAGGGTTTATCTTTATGGCCAGTGCATTATGTGTTAATCTGTGAATTTTGATTGGTTTATCAATCATGGTACATATACTCTCAATAATTAATACGTGCACAATTCACAGAAGTATTATACATTATCATTAACTACTATCACTGATTCCCTTACCTTTCGTTAAAGGTTTTTATCTCCGTAACCGTACATACTGCATATCACTCTTTATATTCAAGTCATCACGGCTGATTCTGTCGTACATGCACATTTGTGTTTCTTCCAATTCTAGAATCGCCATGTGCAACTCGAGCCGTCGATCTCAAACTTGTTTCAGTGGCCGATGACTCCATCGGGAATATTCTGTGCTCTATCGAAAATATTACATTTAAGTTATATGTATATCTGTGTAACGAACGATTTATTTTTCCCGCCGGATTTTCCTCGCGCCATAGTTAAGTTAGGGAACAAAAATAAAACTGCCTTCACTTACCCCTGCATTTGATAGATTATCTACTGCCAGACTCAAATATTCACTACGCCTACTATTTTCCCTCAGCCATTTTAACAACAATCAGATTCGGGTTTTGCCGAAACCCACTGTTGATGCGCATCTGTGCAGCTAAAGTCTCGGTTTTAAGAAGGCGGGCTGATGAGAAAGCATTTGAGCTGCATTATTAACCATCTCGATACTGTAACAGCTACACCAAATGTGATATAGCCTGCCGGGAAACGTTCACCAACTCTAATCATGGGGAAACCTTGTCCAAGAATTTCAGCAGTGCCTTTCGAGCAGATCGAAAATATTATTAGAACTTGTCCGTGCGGACGATGGCATGGTCATTCACTCTCGTGCATAACTTGTATTGGCGAATAGAAATAGACCTATGCAATATAATATGCAATGTATGAACACACCATAATAATAATAATAGTAACGACTAAGCGCGAACTGCCCGCCAATTTTTATTCTTTTGTCGGACGATACTTCATAGTTGATGAGTTGGGTACCACTATTCTATATTAAGCATCCAATATTTCCATATACAGACATGGTTTGATGTTCGTACAATTTTGACCATATTTGGCTTGTGACAAAGAGATTATCTCGACCTTTCAACTATGTCTATTATTATCCTAACAATTGGGTAATGATCTGTTTTACTTTTAAACGATTCTTCAATATCGAAGGGTCACATTACGAATTTTTGATACCAACCATATCCAAATGAGATCGATATTGTCGTTGGAGCAGAGCGAGGGATAAAAGACTTTTTGGATAACACAATACACGTATTTAGAAAGCGTTTACCCAATCAGTATTCAACAATAAAATAAAAAAAAAATTTTTTTTTCTTTTTTGTACCTCCTCAAAACAATAACGAACCTTATTTAATAATGGAGAGCAACACGGGGAGTTAGGGGAAATAGCAAAATAATGTCTTGTCATCCGGAAGAAAAAAAAATAAAAAATTTTTTCTTTTTTCTTTTTTTTCTTTTTATGGGAAACATGACCATCACATGCCAAGCGTTGTTGTATGATTATCATTGGCCAAGTTGATACAAATATTAATGTGTGATTGTCAAGACATTGACCATTTTGAACAAACCAAGAACTGCGGGTTTAATTACATGATTTGATGTATTTATAAGTCTTTTTGTATATTATTCAACAACTCGCTCAATTTGCGAGCAGTTGATGACAATATAATAGGTAGAAATGTAAAGTAATAATAGTAATAGTAAAAGAGGGATGTGAATACCTATCACGCCCAGATACAAATTTACAGTTATAACACTCTAGCATAGGACACAGATTCCCGCTATAAACACACTTTGTGTTTGTTTCCAGAGTATTTACTATGTGATTATGCGGTAATTATTAAACAAAATAAATTGAACGTTATGTATATCTCCAATCTGCAAAAATATAAATGTTTGCAATCGGACGTGGGTTTGTGCATGGTAATAGAAATTATAGAGTCCAAATTAATAGAAAAAATGATAAAGGTTTAAAGTCTACTTAGAACGTGACAAGTATTACTACCCACTATTCACAGAAATCAACGTCTGATGAAAGCGTTACGACAAATGCGAAAAAGAAAACTCGTCAAATCGCTTTCATAGACGCAATAAAGTATCCAACTTCTCTCGCCAATTAACGACCATGGGATTGCTCTTTTCTTTCCATTCCATTTCCTCGAATCAGATCACGCTAACAACACTCTCCAGAAGCACTACTTCGGGCGGGCCCAAATTCCTCAATCTCATTGTTAGCCACGGTAACCAACTCCGCACTCGTCCCATCATCAAATAAAAACGCTGTATCTTCTGGGACATCAAAATCAGTCGCTGCGAGGGCATCTGGATATGTGGTGTAGCGACGAGGTATAGGTGAAAGGATGCGATGACTGTCGGCAGATGTGGAGAACGAGTGAAGGCTATGTGGAGCGAGAGGTATGGTATGACTGTGACTTGTAAAGTTTTGGGAATGTATGTGTGAGTGGGGAGCGGAAAGAGGGAAGGCCTGATTCAGGGAAAGTAATGTTGGTGATAATGGAGCGAGGGACGAAAGGGAAGGAGAAGAGGAAGTCTGATTCTGTCCCGTTGTTGTCCCTGTTGTATTATTACTATGTCCATAATACCCACTACTCTCACCCCATCCAACTCCATCGCCATATTGTCTTCGGTCAATCTCATTAACATTTCCATTTGCTATATGAGATGATAAAATTGCCGGAGCTAAACTTATACTCAACGGCGTTAGGGCAAGCTGTTGTGTAATGAAGCTCTCGTTTCTTCCATTTGTCGTATGAGGGGAAGATGGCGATGTTAATATAGATGATTGATTTGATGGCAAATAACTACCATTTGACGTATTCCCGTTTGCAGTTGTATTCCTAGACGACACAGGCGATAGTAATCTGAAACGAGGTCTTCTTTGATTCTGACGAATAAGGGTTACTCGTCGGATAACATCATCGGACGGAGAGGGGGAAGATGGTATTGTTGGAGTCGAGGGAACAGTAGTAGATGACGGTTCTGAGGGTTGTATTGTGGCTCTTGGCGATGTCTGCGTATTTATTGAAGGATTTCCTGTTGAAGAAGAAGGTAGTGGTGATGATGATGATGATGATGATGATGATGATAATGATGATAGTGATGATGGTGATATTGATGATGGTGATGTTGATGATGTTGATGATGTTGATGATGATAATGATGATGATGATGATGATGATGATGATGATGATGATGATGTTGCTGTTGTTGCTGCTGCTGCTGCTACTGCTGCTGCTGCTGTGGTCGTCGTTGTACTGGAGGAGGATAAGTTAATACCATTCCCATCACTCTCATCCATCATCATCCCATCGTCTCTTATTCTATTGCTGCCATCACCACTTCTCTGCCTTCTCTCTATCCTCAGCCTTTGTGGTATGAATCCATAATGCAGACCATTTCCTGCTGTTATATTTGGATTGTAAACCCCTGGTACCATATGCACACGACTTTGACCCAGTAAATGTGCAGACTGTAGACTTCTGCGCGCATTTTGATTGAAGGAGGACATATCTCGTGTGCGGTGGAGATATTGCAACTGTTGTAGGCGATGGATGTGCTGTTGGACTATATTGTAGGGGAATGATCGACGACGATGACGGTCTTCGGAGTCTCCACGAGTCCTTGAAGTATCTGAATCTGGAGTGTGGTGGTTAATGGGAGGCATGCGAGACGTGTGTAATGAACAAAGTATATAAGCGTCAGTGTTATAGGCGAGTGGGGAATGACTTTGATTCTGGTTAGCTGTGCTTAAGCACACACATTTGTGCATTACCTGCCGAGTCGCTTTGTTTAGAGGGTAACTGTCTCTTGGGCAATGGAGGAGATACAAACATAGGCAAACCCATGTTTTCTGTGATGTTGTAAATGAGAAGCGGGAAAAGAGATGGGTAGCTGATGTAATATACACAAGAATAGAGATAGAGTCTGAACGGTGTAGTTTTGCTTGTCTAAAATAAGTAAAGTTTAATAATAACAGATATCAATGTTTGGAAAACAACAACAGCAGTGGAATAGTGTTCTTGTTGTGGGTGGGGGAGAGAGGGGCTTATGCTATCTTTTCTATTCGTATGAAACAAAGGTACATGATTTGGGAAGTGAGATATTTAATTCTGGTGAGTTTTTTTTATCTATTGGGGGAGTATTATGCACTGTGGGGGCTATATGGTAAAGTCATACAAGAGAGACTATCGGTATTTATCTCCTTTTCCTATTTCTTTTCGGAGATCAACCGCCCCCTTTGTTTATTTGTTTTCTGGGGAGGAAAAAAGGGGGGGCACATGGTAATATATATGTGATAAAATAGGGTGAAATTTGTAAAAAAAAAAACCAACGTAAATAAATAAATAAATACAAATAAAGATATAGATATACAGTAGGCATGTATATAAATATATTGCGTTATTAGTAGGTATATATATTAATATCGTAATATTATAGTTATATTGATACGGTTTTATACATACAATGCATAGATGGGATGATGACATTGATTGGAGGTGCTAAATGATAGGATATTTCATAGTTATTGACGGCGCATTAATAATTGCATCCATTATATAATTGATAATTATGTGCATATTAACAATTAATTATGCTATTCGTCATTATAATTATATATGTAATCAATCATTTATTGTTTATTGTTCCAATTGCTATATAGAACTTGGCATATGAAATGGCCGAGCTATTGGCAATGCAGACAATAGAGACATTCATCTCACATACGACATGACAATACGCAGTCCCAAGCGAATTGACCACACACTGTGACCAAGGAGAGAGAAAATATTATATATTCATTTCGGTTACTCGTACTCAGCATCGCACCTTTGTTCAACCTGTTCCCCAGTATTTCTTATTCTATAAAGACTTTGTTATTGTATCCCAGTGCCTCCCTTTTTTTTATTGAAACCCCGCCAAAAAATTTTTGAGTGGAAGAAAAAAAATATAAAAATTTTCCTCTTGCATACGCCCTTCCTACTATGTTCACTTTTGTAAATTTGCAATTCCCCCCCATTTTACGCCTCGATGATGGGACATTAAATATTTATAATACGATTTGATTGTTATTGTATACATTGTATGTATATATCTATTTATATTATGTTTGTGTATATTTGCAAAGCATACTTAAAGTGAACATAATGACACAGGGTTAAATTGTTAACCGCCACACGGTGTCACAAACCCAGATTGTATACTATCTTAACTGTTAGATATTTCCTTACAAGTAACATCAATCCCAGCAACCGCAGCATTGAAACGATGTTGAATATTGTATATCTATATTATCATAATATACATATCTGTCCACTGTTTGCGTATACTAATCATGTGAGCTAAAAGAGGCTGATGTGGCTGGAAATGACCCAATTTAGTTGATGACATTTTGCTGAGGCTTTGCTGTGGTTCATGCGCCAATCCAGACTTTTATTATAAGAGAATGCGACTTCATCTGTGTATAAAAGCAAGACGAATTCACATTCACCAAAACAAACCACGTTGCAACGTATTTTCACACTACACAAAAATCGCAAACGAGACATTTGCACTATCCAAAAAGCTCTTTGTTCAATAAAGATGGTTCGTTATATTCATTTTCTGACATGCAGACAAGAATGCTGGTTGCTTGCCAACAAGATCAGTTTTGGACCATTGCATGTTGCCAACAAGCTGCTGCACATAACGTGATGGTTGACCAACTCAATAGCATTGACAAGACTGTTTGCAAAATACGAGACAATTACAATTGCATCAGCCCGCGCAACTATCGAGTGTCTAGCTCGATGGAAGCAACAAAATCATATGAGAGAGATGTTCTAACTCTCTGGAACTAGAACGAGTTTACGCAACTCTTTGATGCAAAGAGGAAATTGGACGATAGTAGTTTGTCCAAAATGCGATTGGTGTTTATTGATCGTTTTACGTAAATACAAATAATCAACTGACGCATCTCCACGTTAAAAAAATTTCCTGGCATCTCTCTTTTCCAACGCGTCGTACGTTTCTAATTCTTGTCTTCTATAATCCAAAGGAGGATGGAGTTAGCTATTAAATAGATAAAAATTTAATTTTCTCGATTATTTCAGATAACTTGCTTTCTAATTTATAACAAAAATTCGGTATGGGCACCAGCTACTCCAGGATTAGTTACTTCAAATAAAAAATGCTGATATTTTGGCGCACCATTCAATTTCTCAAAGAAAATTACCAACACAGAATTTACACCACCAAGCATCTTGAATATCAGTTAAGAATTTTACTCCAAGTACAGAACAATATTCACGGCCTATATTATTCACTACAGCAGAGATAATTTCATTCAGCTGATTTTGTCTCAAACAGTTTGAAAACTTCTGAACTCAGCAGGGGAGTTATAGACCCACTGAAAATATTATAATTGTTGTATCTGAGTTTAGGACCTGTCTCGAATCTGCTAAGTATAATACTGAACTACACAGGGAAACTCGATAAGCCGGACACGACTGGCTGGAGTTTTGCGTTCCTTTATTGTCTACACCTACGAACACGACTGGCTGGGCATGGTTGTTCGACTTATCGAGTGTCTGACTTATCGAGTGTCCGACTTATCGAGTTTACCTATGTATCATCATTCCGATATCAGTTTCCTCAGGAAGAAGGTTTTCGAATTGCTTTGCTCGTTTTTTTTGGTTAGCGTTCTGTCAACGGAGGTCTGGCAAAATGTGAAGTACCTTGAGCTTGGATTTAATATATTGGTCACATCTTTAACAAAGCCTCTCTTTCTCAAGAAGACGAGCAGATGATGATAATTTAGAGTAATCATTGATAGCTTTCGCGTAATGACTTATAAATTTGTTCGAGTTCAACCAATCTTAGATAGTCTGTCCGGAGTGCGTTGTACCATTCCGAGAGAGCTTTTTTTCGATGTGTAATTGAACTTCTGATAACATACCACTAAATAGCCACGCAACGTCAGGTAATCAATCGGTAGTGAGACAAACGGTACAAACTTATCGCGAGCACATTAACCTGTCGCGCAAACACAATCATTATCGAAAATACATTCGTTATTAACTTAGAATGATAGACGCGTATTAAAGAGTTTATGACAAACATACAATATTAATATTTCTTTTTTTTGATACATTCTATGTCCCAATAATCCAATGTCTGATGTAGACGTTTCCATATACTGACCATTTTAATCGGAATAATCGACTCTTACTTAATGCTATTAGTAACTGTGAATTACCTTGACTAAACATGTGCGCATCTATACTAATGAAATATTATTTAGTATCGACTCCTCAGAGTAAGAATTTCTTCTAATAAGAGGACGAGGATTATCGGAGCCAAGAAAGTTAATAGGCGTGAATTGCAAAACTTTAATGACAGGCACAACTATCAAGAAACGGATTCTCAGAGTCAAGGCTTAGTATACAGCTAAATCTCGAGGTCAGCTGACAATTCACTCATTTTCAGCTGGCACGACACTAGTAGGAAAGAATGAAGCGTTTACAACAATTTTTCTGACAGAACATGTCTCTGCTTCTTCTGCCACCAGGTTGAGCTAAAACAAAATGAAGATCAAGGACTATAAATAGGTATTAATTAAACCTATTGCTATTGAGTTAAAATCGCCTTATTGTTGGAAGTGTGCTTATAAAGAGGTTGTGACTATAAGAGGTTTTTTTCTATAAGTTTAATAGTAATTGGTTCTCAACATGGTGTGCTTATAAAGAGTTTTTTATATGATGTGCTTATAGAGGGGGTGACTGTAGAGGGGACGACTGTAAAGTTGCATTGTTCCCGACAGCGTGATGAATTAACTGCTCAGTATTTATATTTACTAACGCACCTGCTGTCGTCAAGCGCGAATACTCTTTACACAACACGTGTTCCACTATTCGTACTATAATGACACGTGTTGTGGCTTAAAATTAATTTTCTGAATCAAACAAGTTTTTTTTTGACATTAAACTTAGTCGCTACATGTCTACTGAAGTATTATCTTTTCCAAGATTAGCAACTTTCTTGTCTCGTCAATGTAAGCTGTTTAAAGTACACCTGCATGTGCTATCATAAAGAAGTCTAGATTGAATGGACTCGCTTTATAATGGAGCCAACGGCCTGTACATCGACGTTCTATTATAAGGAACCTCGATTATATGTTGCTTTGGTTTGCAGTCGACTTTAACAATATTGAAAAATGTGATGAGCCATTGCACAGAAGAGCCTAAATACTCCCGAGTCCAATGGGTAATCTGATGTCATGATAATGAGATTATGGGGTAAGAGAATGATTCTGTTTGATTCAGTAGAAAGCCAACAATGTGATTTTGAGTCTATTGAATTTAGTTACTGGTCATCGTATTATATTTATAATACCCGTCCCATGCTTTAACTCGGTGTTGTTATTATCTCCCGTACGATGCTGAGTCACTAATGGAACGAATATCAAAACCCTTACTTTTACACTGCCTTTACGGTTTTTATGACTGTGTGATTTGGTGGTTTGCGACGTAAGGGATATTTATCGAGTTCACTTTTTGTAAGATGATTGGAGGGTAGTATTTTGATATCCTGGTAGAGATCGGGATTAGACGATGAGATTATCTTCTCTTAAGATGTAAACATGGCGAGCGTGATTGCCGGGTGTTTATATAGTGTTAATTGCCGCTGCTCTTTCAGCGAATACTACTGGCAATCAGTTTCTTGTCTTTACTTATTGAATTCTTACCTATCCAGGGTCCAAGGCTTTATAATTTCCTCTCTATCCAGTCTGCTTTTGCCAAGCTGTTGAACTTGATTCTAGATAACATCCACACGAAACTTCAATGTTTCCATATTCTAATAACCATTG